CTCAATAACCCAATCAATCCTGGGACTGTGGATGTTGGCATGATTTGAGGTGTGGAGTGGAATCACATTCTCCTTCAGTCAATATCAAAGTGAGGATATTTATCTTTGACAGAATGATGAGAGCTCCCTGGACAGACAGTATATTTCAAACTTTCATCTTCTTTCATTTATAGCCTAGTCCTCTACTCCTTTTCCGACAATTTGAACCTTTAACACATCATCTAAGTTTTCAAGAAAACAGGCAATGATCATGCCGTCCTGCTATTCTCAATCGACCGATGGCGAACAAGCTAACCACCACTAATTTCATCTGCTATTCTGCTGTTATGTAATACTGTACTCACAACATTCTTGTTATGACAAGCCATGCTCTCTGGACGATTATTTTTTCCGCCGCAGCACCATTCGTAATTTGCGGTTTCATGTCCTTATTTAATCGTTTTTCATTTTCAAAATGTGCCTCTTGGATTTAATAAGTTCTCATAAGAACCCCTCGATTTTCATCTATTTCTATAAGCCCACCCTCAATTTTCACTCTGTTTTTATAAGCGCCCCGTTCGAATAAGCGCCCCGTTTGAATTAGCGCCCCTCAAAAAAGTGCAAAAAATATTTTAGGCGCCCGGGCGCTTATTCGCGCGAGTACGGTATTCAATTCAATTAAAATCAAAGATACATTTTATTGACCATTTATATTATAGTATAGTATATGAAAATGCAACAAAAAGAATAGCATATGAAGCACATATTAAATTCCATTTTTTCAATTACAAGATCATGTTGCAATCATGAATATATCACCGTAAATGGAAGAAAGAGAATATAGTTGAAAGAAATTTTGTTAGTGGAAAGATAGCAAAACAATAATACTTAGGCCTATGATAAACTGATTCACGAACTAAAATATATAGGGCCTAGGCATATTGAATTTTTCGTTTTCGCAACTCCTACGGCGCTCCATATATTTGTTCGAAATAAACCGCGACCGAAACAAAGCGCGACCGAAATGATCGGCTACCGGTATAGGCCTAGCCTTGAAGGGACGAAGGTCCCAATAAAAACAACGTCGCTCTTGATAGCTAACATTGTCTATTTAACATCACAAATAATTCATTATTAGACCTATAGTTGTTTTTTGAATTGTACTCCACAGATCTCAGCCGATACCTCGCACCCGTATTTTTCTATTGACTATGCTCCAAAACAGACTAATTTAGATAAATGATTATACAAAAAAAAAAAAAAAAAAAAAGTGATTAAATTCTGTTGCATGTTCCTCAAGATTTTTTTTCATGGTGACTCTGGTTTGCGTGCCAGTTATGTTTTACCTGTTGGGCCATGTGGCCGTGTATTCAATTTTTGAATAAAGTGTGCCTAAATACAATACAACTCGAGTTAACGTCTCGTATTTATTGTCGTGACGTCATGGCTCGCTGGCTCACACTTGCGATGGCTCGCACTTGTGATCGAATAACACGCTGGCTCCTAAAACTTGCCCCATAAAAAAAATGTACACTTCCTAGACCATGCAGTCTTCAAAATAAAAATTGTAACCTTTGGTAATCAACTACATTTTCCACATACATAGACATTTTTGAAACTTTATTAAAAAAAACCTAAACCATAATTATTCACCACTAATCTATAGACACTTTTTGACAAAAATGAAAAAATAACGACTTTGTTACCCAATGAGAAGTGTTCTAATAATAATATATAGACAATGGGTCGTGTCTCATATTATTTGTTATATTTTTATTATTCATTATTTTCACTTGACTCGCATAAATAATTTTGTTCGAAGAACATTTATATGCAGTTGTACTTCCCAGCACTTCACTTGCAATTTGCAATTTCTAGTATTTAATTTATTCTTTGCTAGTGCACATACAGTTGGCCTACGTATTCAATAGCCTGTGTGACGTCATTAGCTTATTTCCTCAGCAACTTGTAGCACGTGATCAAACAATATGGCTGACATTATTTACAGTAGTACTAATTATGAGGTTATCAATGACAAATGAATTTCCAATTCTGTTTTTGGTTAACAACTCGTAAGTAGACAGATTATAATACCCTAAAAAGTAAAATATAGGGACTAGGCCTAGACCTATTGCTAATGCTTATGTAGGCTAGTACTATGTGTGTTTAAAATGCATAAAACTAGGCCTAGGCCTACGTGTGAATATGATGTGACTCTGGCCAGGGCTCTGACTGAGTGAGTGAGACCAAAGCAACTTCAAGTAGGAGGCGCCGAGGCCAAGGAGGGCAACCGAGAGACTAGCCTAGTCAATGAAAAAAAAAACAACAAAAAAACAAAACAAAAAAATAATAAATAAAAAACAAAACAATGCCGCCGTAGCGTGTATGAACCCAAGTTCTAGGCCTAGTAGTAGTAGTAGGAGTTTAGGGCTAGGCCTAGGTAGGCCTACTAGGTAATCCAGCCCAGCTAGGCCTAGGCTAGAGTTCTCAACGGAGTATGGTCGGAGCGGCCGCGAGTCGATACGCAGCAATTTGTATGGAGCGCCAAGCGTGCAGTATGCAAAATGTATGTTGGACAATGGGCATCAGAGTTCGATATTAATACTGTTTTAATCAATTATCAAATTAATGTATATATTTTCTTTCATAATTTATATATAGGGGCCTAGCCTATAAAAATCGAGACTTAATATTTAGTTAGTTTGTTTATTATATCAAATATGATTTATAATATGCCTATTTTCTTACAGAAATGGATGGTACTTTTTAAATTGCCTCTTTACTTTATTGCTGCGAAGCAGCCAATTCATATTCTTGACAGAAATTTGACCTCTGAAAGGTCATTGTTTGTCAAAAAACAAGGGCCTAAGACGACTGAAAAGCGGAGTTTCCTTCTTTCGTTCTGCCGTTTGTAGACCTACACGTACCAACGTCCACATGTCGCGACGCTTGAGTATTACTATTCAGCGCTTTTGCTATATTTCTAGGTTTCCTATTTCTACGTTTAATTGGCCCATGTCTCAGCCACAATATTTTGAGGCCAATATTATTTACGAACCCAGTTAAACTTATTTACTAGCCTATTTCAGCGTGCTACTTATTAAATTTAGGCGACGCTTGTTGTAGACTGCCATACACGGTACCAACGCTCGTTTTTACTATGTTTCTACGTCAGCTCAAGACATTTTAAAGAGGGTGACCTATCCAGTTCCTGCAGGAATTGATCATTAAGGACCCTCGATAAAACATAGACAATATGTGAAATATTAAATATTCAAGACATAAAAGTTAAATTGCATGTTCAAATTGTAATCATATTTTTTAAGTTTTTGTACTAAAACAGGCAGAATCTTTAACTTTTTTATTATTTAATCTTCCATGTACCTTTGTTTTTATATGAAATTTGGCATCTATATTACAATCAAAAACTATAATTTGTACTGTACCATAATTTTATTTTAATAAACACCACAGGACATTTACTGTTCAAAATGTTATTTTATGGGGAGGGGGTAGATTTAAAAAAAATGGATGTGACATTTCCAACTTTATACACCCCTTACTGTAATAATAGTCTACAATGTATACGGTAATAAAGTTTGATTAGTACTGAACTCCTTTTTTGAAAATGTATCACAAATTGTTGACCAATCTTAATAAACTTTTATGTATTTTAAATATGTTGCGCTTCTATGTTTTAAAAAATTTTTGCTAATTTGATTTCTGGACCACAACATTGCATGTGGAAGAGGTAAGGTGTAAACTCGGACTCGTCTCGACAGTGCTAGGAGTAGTCTAGGCTAGCCTTATCCTACTCTAGGCCTAGACTAGCTAGGATGGTATAGGCCTCTCCTTGATAGCTAACATTGTCTATTTAACATCACAATAATTCATTATTAAACCTATAGTTGTTTTTTGAATTGTACTCCACAAATCTCAGCCGATACCTCACACAACTCGTTAACGTCTCGTATTTATTGTTGTGACGTCATGGCTCGCTGGCTCACACTTGTGATGTCTCGCACTTGTGATCAAATAACACGCTGGCAGTCAACTCGCCCCTAGAAAACCCACCCTTGGAAACTTGCCCCATAAAAAAATGTACACTTCCTAGACCATGCAGTCTTAAAAATAAAAATTGTAACCTTTGGTAATCAACTACATTTTCCACATACATAGACATTTTTGAAACTTTATTAAAAAAAACCTTAACCATAATTCACCACTATAGACACTTTTTGACAAAAATGAAAAATTACGACTTTGTTACCCAATAGTGTTCTAATATAGACAATGGGTCGTGTCTCATATTATTTGTTATATTTTTATTATTTATTATTTTCACTTGACTCACATAAATAATTTTGTTCGAAGAACATTTATATGCAGTTGTACTTCGCAGCACTTAATTTGCAATTTCTAGTTTATTCGAATTTTACTAACTTGTGTTCAGTTTGTTCTTTAGTGAATGAACATCTGTTTGTCATTGCATTTGAAGATGAGTGATAATTAATAATAATAATAATAATAATAATATTAGTAATAATAATAATAATAATAATAATAGTAATAATAATAATAATAATAGTAATAATAATAATAATAAATTAATAATAATAATGACAATATACAGTATCACAAAGTGTAGACCTATGTTTTTCACGTTCATCCCATTTTATTACATTGTAAATTTAGTATTGACAGATCCCATGTTTGAATCCGTTTGTGTCCTGAAAGAAATATAAAATAAAAGTTCATTATACATAAAAATCTGAACTGATATATAATAAATATCAATATACAGATCCTATGTTTAAATCCGTTTGTGTCCTGAAAGAAATATAAAATTAAAGTTCATTATACATAAAAATCCGAACTGATAACATATAATAAATACCAATTTAATCATATCATAACTCAATTGTCATGTACGTACAAAAATGTAATCAATCTGTAAACAAATCGATCTTTAATTAACCATGGCCAAAAAGGCTACGAGAAATAAAAAATTTTCAATTATGAAAATTATACGTTGATTTCTCTTTATTTCGAAACACTTGCCTGATCAAATAAAACTGAGTGAAACATACTAGAATTGACGAGTACAATTTGAAAGCTATTGACCAAAGCCGTATACCGTAACGTATCCCAATCAATCGGTATAGCGCTACTGGCATTCCATACATTTTAAGCGCAGCCGCTTTCCCTCGTGGCCGCTACGACCCTAATCCTTCTCAACTAGCCTAGACCTACAGTAGGCCTAAACTCTGTGAAATGTAAAAAGGCCTAGGCCTATATAAAGCTATGGGAATGAAAGTGGTATATTTGCATCCGCAAAATATTGAAAACACATGAGACATTTTTTTAAATTTTTGATTATTCATTATTTTTATAAATGCTGTAGGCCTAGGCCTATAAGCCCTACACAAGCCGTGGCATCAGCAATTACGTTATTCACAAGAAACACAATGCATACCTAGGCCTAGGGGCTAGGTGTTGCTAGGCCTACAATCAGTCATAACATTTTTAATTAAATTTACACTAAGTTTAAGACAGATCTCATATTTAAGTGGATCATATGTAATTTTAGAAAAGTTATATACTAGTTTGGCGTTTACAAACATTGAAACTATTGTACTCTTTTGTTATGTAAATAGAGATTGGAAAGTATTGAACAGAACAAAGATAATAAATAGAAGAATATAGGCTTACTTAGGGCCAAGAGTAGTTTGCATCTGCACCGTGGTGCATAATCAAGCAGTAATAATGAGCATCGCAAGCGTCAGTAATAGGACTATATCTTCTTTTATAAAATGCAAAAACATGAAAATTTTCAAAATTCTGATTCTCAAATGTTTTGGGTGCTTGTGGGAAATTATAAATTGTGACAAACGGAGGGTTTTGCCAAAGCTGGTCACATATTTTGTACCAAGTAGTAATATTGCCATAATATTTAAGGCCTAGGCCTAAGCCTTTCTGCATGAACGAATTGCGTACTCCGGCATGCCATTGGTAATGACAATGTAAATTGTATAAAAAAAAAAGGATCTATTCTACCCCTACCCCACCCCTACCAATAATACCACATGAGTTTTAAGGATAATAGGAAAAATTTTTTATTGTTTCAGTAGTTTTTTATCTAATCTAATTATACTAAACATTGGCAAATTTTTTATACTGTATTTATCCAATTCACCAACTGAAATTTGCACAGAAAATTGCTAGGAAAATTATGTGCATAGAATCTTAACTAGGGCCTGCTATATACAGTACATTTGGTTATTAAGAGATAGGTCAAGGTTTAATGGTCTAATTTTCGGCAAAGTCTGCATGGAAGCAACCCTTTATTTTCCAACATGTGAGGACAGATTTCTAGGCTCAGGGCACATAGAAAAAATTAGATTATCACTCTTTTAAAAAAAAAAGATCGATGAGGGAGGGCTGTTTTTTGTTTGTTTATTGTTTTTGTTTTTTTAATGGAACAAGAAATTATTTTGCTTTTGTTTTTATCAATGAGGGAGGGACTGTTTATATTTGGCTACTAATAGTAGATAGAAAGTGGTTTTAATTCTATTCTTTTTTTAAAGAAAATGTAATTGAAATCACTAAATTGTATTGTTATTTTTATGCTGTTGAAATAATTGATGCGGCAAAAAAAATTTTTTTTTTCTATTCCCGCATCAATATTTCCGGAATTTTTGACACGAGCGGGAGTGATAGTGTAATACATTTTTTTATTTGCTCTTAAGTTTAGTGTGCATGATTGTCTTATTTTACAGTCTAGATCCTGTTATGTAATAATAGTGTCTAGCCTACAGGCAGATGTTACTTGGCGTAGTTTTCTTTCTTGGTATGGTTATAGCCTTAATTTAGTTGTGTATGTTCCTATCACTCACTGTGATTACTAAGGTTTGATTTTGCGTCCTCACTCATCAAGTGCTCCAGATCTTTTCAATCGTAGCCATGGTTTATCTCTTAAAACCCCATTCCCGGCAAAATTTCAGTTTTTAAGAAAAGCCTAATTTTTGTATATATGTTATAAAGATTTATAAATAAAATAAGGAATTGGTAGTTTAACTGAATTTAGACATTCCTATGAATGAAAAAAATGTAAAATAAGACTGAAATTTGATTTTTTGTGTTCCACACAAAAAATAAATGCGGATGAATTTTCATGTTTGATTTTGCGATAGGCCGTGAGAAAAATATCGTAGGCGCCGAAAACATAATAAGCCTATCCAACGCTGCTATGCTATGCCTAGCCTTTCCTTGATTTAGGTTCTGCTATCACACATAAAAACGGCCGACATGATATTTTCCGTTGCTAGTAATGACACTTGTGAAATATAATATTTCATAGGAATTATTTCAAATTTGTTAAAAAACTGATTCTGACCGAGATTTTGACACTTAAACAAACATATCTCAGCCTTAATCCAACTGCATTGTACAAGATTCGAAGTACAAGAACTAATCTCATTAGAGAGTGCGCACTTTATTGACTGTATAAAGTATACATAAAAGCGACAGTATTCCCATGGATGCGATCTACAACCTCTGAATTTGCCTAGTAACAATGAATTCGTCGAGAAGATGGTAATATTTTATGAGAAATAGTCTGTATTTCTCATTTTTTTTATTCTTTTGTGTAAACCTAACATTCATGCCAATATTTTTCCATGATTTTTAATAATTAGAGTAATGTAAATGCATATTTTCTAAAAAAAGTCAGTTTTTAGTGAAATTTTGCCATGAATGGGGCTTTAATATTATGCTACTTGTGGTCAGTTGCTGATTTAGCAGCAATCTACCAAGATTTAATATGGTGAAGCTTTAAGTATTTCTCCATTCAAAGCTGTTTAAGATGATATATTTGTATGAATTATCAGAAACGCTGGGTCTGTGTTTTCGCAAAAAAAACATTTGCTTTTATTATGTATATCAGGTAGTAAATGCTGTGAAACCTTAGGATTCTTTGCACTATTTTTGATGTGACTATATATCTATTAATTGTTGTATAGTACATTCAACATGAATGTCAGTGTAATTTGAAGCGTGACAGAATGGTAGATTTGGAAATTTATACTGTGTTATGGTAAGTGTACCTCATTCTCAATTATAATATGGTATTATTTTTTTTCTTCCATCAACTATAATATCTATTGTGTTAGTAACTAGTCAATACTGTATTGAAAAACAAATTTGTATTATATTTCAAGGTACAGTAATTTTATGTAGTACATTGAATATGATATCCTGATTAAATATTTTGCCAAAAAAAGAGTTACCACCTGTAGTAGTACAGCTACTAAAATTCAGATATGCCATGGTTATGTTATATTCAATTTTTCTTGCCTTTAATTTGTTTCCTAGGAGATGCTTTTAAACTGTTTTCCGTAAGCTAAAGAGAACAAGTAACACCAAGCATGGCAGGTGCTAATATTGGTCTATCAATGCTAAGCCGTGGCATTGGAGCAGAGAAGGAAATTAAAGGGCATAGGAAGCTTGAGGTGTCTTTAGAACCTGAGGTACAGTTATATAATTAGTATTTATTTTGTCCAGATAATTTTTAAAATGTGTACCCTAATTTTTATACTGGATAATAATAAATAATAAAATACTTCCAGATACTGGAAGTGTCTCTATAATTTTTTTGCTATAATATTAAGGGTAAAACAATAAATTTAGGGAAAATGCTGAAAATTATGCAATTTTTAAGAAAGTCTATGTTGACATCTGCTTTTTCCATCTTCTAGGTGGGAAACAATTTTTAAACACACAAATTTCTTTCAGTTACTTTCAAAATTGATTTTTATTAATTTATTTTTTTTTTGTATTTTGCCTGGGACAATACATTATTAATTGTTGACCCAGAAGTAAATAACCAAATAGAATTTAATAAACTGATTCATAATTTGATGGCTCACTTATCAAATACCATATATACTATTGATTAATTGCCATCATGTCATTTTGTTTGTAAAATCCATTCAGGATTACCATAACATTCAGTCAAAGAAGTTCTACCTACCACCAATCCAGCAACAGGCATGGCAAAATGGCAACATCGTAAATCGCGAGATGATGACACACAAGACATTTACCACTAGGAAGGGTGCTCTGTTGCTGTATGCAGAAGACTTAGCATCGGCCGGTGGTGGTGCTACCGATGGCAAGAAGAAAGCTCTCGAGGCTGAGGACAGTAGCTTATTCAGCAGTACCAATGAGTTTTGTAGTGCAATACTTTCATATGGAGCCAAGGTTAATTCTTCATTCTCAGATTACTCACAAACAATGGCCGATTCAAAATAGCTGGGGCTAAGGGATGGGCTGTTACAGATGAAAGAGCCAGACCACCTGGGCTTGATCCTGGTTTGAGGGTGAGGTCTCCATCCCCGTTGCAGGCTGAAGTCACCTCACCACTCTGGATGGGGCCCGAGATCCAAATTGTATTGCTATGAGGCATCTAGATGGCAGGAACTAGCACTGTTAGCCTTAAATTTGAATAGGATTTTCATTTTCTCCATTTTAATAAATCATACTAACCTTGTTTGATGACATTCATGAGATGGAAACTCTTTAATTTCAATCATTTTTCAGGGAAATGAAACAAGCCCGATATTCTTAAATTTTGTGAAAGGAAGAAGTGTTTTAGAAGCCAGTAGGTCAGTGCGTCCTGGATTTTCAGCCAAGCGGTATATGGCTAACTGGTCTCGCAGTTGGGATGACTCTGTGCTTAATAAACTTCGCTCAAATGGTGAGTGTGTCATGAGGCTAATTGTTAAATTGAGTAATTAACATAAGAATGTGGCAGTATATGTATACTTTAGTACAGAGAAGCCATATAATACTTAAAAACTAAAAATAAATAAAAAGTCAATTTTCATTTTTTGGTCACTGATGCTGGTTTTGGGACAACAATCCTCATTGCTGCGAAGCAGCCAATTCATATTCTTGACAGCAATTTGACCTCTGAAAGGTCATTGTTTGTCAAAAAACGAGCAGCAGTCAACTCGCCCCTAGAAAACCGCCCTTGGAAACTTGCCCCATAAAAAATGTACACTTCCTAGACCATGCAGTCTTCAAAATAAAAATTGTAACCTTTGGTAATCAACTACATTTTTCCACATACATAGAAATTTTTTAAACTTTATTAAAAAAAACCTAAACCATAATTCACCACACTATAGACACTTTTTGACAAAAATGAAAAATTACGACTTTGTTACCCAATGAGAAGTGTTCTAATATAGACAAAGATGTGTATAAGAGACAATTTGTTATAGTTTTATTATTCATTATTTTCACTTGACTCGCATAAATAATTTTGTACGAAGAACATTTATATGCAGTTGTACTTCGCAGCACTTCACTTGCAATTTGCAATTTCTAGTAATAATTTCTTTAAAAATCTCTGTTTATTTGTTAAATCAGGAAATATTTGGGATAAAAATCTGTTCCAGCCGAATGCAGTGAATCCAAGCATTTACCGGCGTATCAATGATGACTTGTCTCAGTACCCATCTCCTTACCACGTGACTAGAAGCATGCTCCTGTCGCCTGGAGGTCTACAACAGTATGAATTCTACAGAGTCAAGTCTAACATCTCTGATGAAGGTAATATACAACAATAACTAGCAGATCCAGCAGGGGAAGGGTGCCACAGTATATTCCTCCATGTTACTACTGTATCTCCTATCCCCATGTTTTGGGAACCATTGACTCACACCAGTAGCAATTTTTGTTTATTTTGATCTTTTTTAGATCAACTGCCTCTATTATGCTGCCCTCATGAGGAGCTCTAGAAACACTTGGCTGATTGATTAATAGTTGATGGATTAATAGATCTTTTCTAGCTCTACTGCCTCTATTATGCTGCCCTCATGAGGAGCTCTAGAAACACTCGGCTGATTGATTAATAGTTGATGGATTAATAGATCTTTTCTAGCTCTACTGCCTCTATTATGCTGCCCTCATGAGGAGCTCTAGAAACACTCGGCCGATTGATTAATAGTTGATGGATTAATAGAACTTTTTTAGATCAACTGCCTCTATTATGCTGCCCTCATGAGGAGCTCTAGAAACACTCGTCTGATTGATTAATAATTGATGGATTAATAGATCTTTTCTAGCTCTACTGCCTCTATTATGCTGCCCTCATGAGGAGCTCTAGAAACACTCGGCTGATTGATTAATACTTGATTGATTAATAGAACTTTTTTAGCTATACTGCCTCTATTATGCTGCCCTCATGAGGAGCTCTAGAAACACTCGGCTGATTAATTGATACTTGATTGATTAATAGATCTTTTTTAGCTCAACTCCCCTCATCTGAGCTTTCGGAATTATGAGAACTTGTTTATTGTACAGTTTATATCGTCACTGCAAGGCTAACCCTCTTTTCATATTATAGTATAAAAATAATACCTGAAATCCTGTAGGTATCTAAATGTAACTGTCTTGTTTATTTATATTATTAGGATACTGCCATGGGTTTTAACTCATATAATTCTTATTTGATATCCATATTTTATGGAAGTTGTCTTTTCGAATAGCCCTGATAAAATATATTTGATAGTGTGATGCTCTATATATATGCAGTCTCAATACTGATCGTATCTGATACACAATGGTATTGATCTTCAAATTTCAACAAAATAGTTGATTGATTTGATAAAATAAAGAACAAATCAATTGTTAAGCCGGTTTTACACTAGGCGAATTTATTCGTGCAAATCGAGAAGCTTTTGCATTTTTTCGCTTCGCAAAAAGTAGAAACAGTTCAAACTACTGATTTTGTTGAAGCGGCGAATAAATTTGCTTAGTGCAAAACCGGCTTTAGTAATGTGTGTGGTATATACTTGATGGTAAAGGATACTTGCATTCTTATCGTATAGACGTAGGTTCAAAGGCTAAAAATTATTTTGCATGTTTTTTTTAGAGAGAAAATGTGTAATAATGCACTTTTCATATATTGTTTTGTAGAAATAACTGAAGAAACAGAGGAAGAAGTTTTGGCCAGTCAAAAACAGCCTTTACCAGCAAAAGGAAAACTTTTTGATTCAAATAGCATTGCAGTTGTTGAGAGGGACAAGGACAACAAACCTCATTTAGTTTCCTATAAAGACCTTGATGAAGAAAAACAGACTGCTGTTCTCCAACGATTACTAGTTCAAAGCGTTTTAAGTCATCAGCAATCCATCGAAGACTTGTTTCACGAGAAGTTGTCATCTGTTAGCACAAAATCTGAGTCCGGAAGCATTCTTGAATCACCTTTGAACCTTGACATTGGGCAGGCTATCGTTGTAAGTTGATAAATGAATTAAAATAATGGGAGATGATGCTGTAATGGTTGAGGGTCATGACTTCATTTGTCTTTGAGCATTTATTGGCCAAATATAAAAATATCTTTTATAATGAGACTTAAAACTAGGATTAAAACATACATACTCACAAACCACATATTTTTATTCATCTTTACTAAAAGTGATTTTTACAAATGTATTACATTATTTCATTGAAATGTGATTTACCATACAGGTAGAGTAATATTGTTTTTTAAAGTGTCAAAATTGTTTCAATCCTATTTAACAGGACCAGTAAATATAATGGTGTTTATGTATTATTTTGTTTTTGTTTCAGGACTTGATTACTTCAAATTCTACCCAGCTTCAAGTTGGCAACCCTATATTTACTGATGCTTCTTACATCAAGGCATCCCCAACTCAACTAAGTATGATCAATTGTTTCTTTTCTTTCTCTTTGTTTCAAGCAAGCAATCAGACAATCAATCAGTCATTCAATCAATCACCCAGTACTCAATGTCAGTTGATATATGTTAATTTATAAATGTGCCAACCAGATAATCAGCAAATAGATTAATTGATTGTTTACTGGATTGATTGAGTGATCGATACTAATTGGATAAACAATCAAGCTAATCAACTATTTGGTCAACCAATATTGTATATCAATTATTCAATTTTTCAACATTTAATTTAATTAATAAATCAATCAACCATCTAATCAACTAATTATAAGGTGCGATCTACAAATTATACCTAACAACAGAAACTAGTCTAACACGTTTGCTATTTGGAAAAGCTCTCCAAACGCGTCTGAAATGCTGTTTGGAAGCTTGTCGTTTGAGCCATTTATTTCGTACAGAAGTTGACTCCTCCCCATTTCATATGGCTGACTGCTCGTGAATGGTAGATGTTAAACGTGTTCACCGGAATATGGATCCGATCGTGATTTATACAACTTTAAAACGTGTTGAACCTTCCTAGGCAATAAGCTACTACTATTTAGTAGTAGCTTATTACATTAAGGTGCTAGGCCTAGGCCTACGCTAGATGACAGATCACGATGAAATGGTTATAATTATCATTTTAGTTGTTTGGGAAACCCCACTGTCCCATATTTTTTTAGTATGCCCTACCGTACCTGTAGGTTTAATAGAAGAAAAAGTAATCGCCAGTCACCTTCCCACCCAGATTTCATTGTGCGATGTTCGAATTCATGCTATCAAAACAAGTACCTTTTGCCCAAGTACCCCATTCAATGTGTCGGCACAGCCCACACAAAAATGGAGCAGCATGTAAACACTGACCTGGATCAGCCGCAGTTGATCTGAAGAAGTTTGTTGACGTTTTATCACATGGTCATATCGTCTCACTTTGCACATGTTTACAGAGTACATCTGTAGGCTACGTCATTACTTGTATGGATGGTTCAACTTCATTAAAATGGTTAAACCATCCAGAAATGGTATATTAGTGTTTCACTATTTACTATTTCAATGTTTTGTTTCAAATGGTTATTTTACATGTACGGTATTTTGTAAATGCATCACTCCATTACATTTCTTGCCAACGATGTCGCGTTTGAGCCTAGACTCAAAAATACCGGGATGGTGTCCGGCGGGGGATAGTTTTTGTATACATGTGTTCCAAACGGCCTGTAGGCCTATATGTATACACTATATATTTTTCCAATGTCGTAAGGAAAATAAATTGTCAATTAAAGTTACTGTTTTCTGTAAACCTGTATGTTGTTTGTGTCCCTGAAGGATTAGCATATAATTATTATTGAAATACAGCGGTACACGTTCAGTTGTATGTTTTATTTTATGTTTCGACATTAACATAATAAAACTCAGTATTATTATTATTTAACACATAAACAGCTTCTCCACATAGTATAACAGTAAGCCTAAAGGATAAAAATATATAAAATACAAAACAAGATTTAAACATAGGCCTCCAAGACTAAAAAATGAAACTATACAGAAGAGATAGGTAAGCAGACAAGGCCTATCTATACTTAATTTTAAATTAAACTGGCATCCAGGCACTCCACCGAACGTCCTACTGTTCCATCTGAACTGACCTACTTTTGTCCGGAGCGCCACACACTGCAAACACTGGGCCTAGAATATACTATTAGGACCATGCAGTGTTTAATCTTTGTACAGTATACTGGGTTCATTTCAAAGTAAAACTTGTACAGTATTTTAAATTGTACATACGAAAACACTAGTTCAACCGGGGCCTATCCAACCACACACTCATTTGTCATCGAAAACAATAGAAACAATGGCAAACATGTTAATCGGCACAATCCTGTTCGGACGCGTCTCTGAAATATTGGCTTAGCTTACTAATATTCACAGGCAATTAGATGATCGCTTTCCTAGACGTGTTTGTAATACATAGTTTTTCCAAACCTGTTTCTGTCGTTGGGGATAATTTATAGATCGTACCTAAGGGGCTTGCCATGCCAAAACTAGCATCAGTGACTAACAAAAAAATTTACCAATTCATATTCTTTGTATTATAAGCTTTAAAATGATAGGTCATTTACTGGAATTGACTTTACTATAATACCGAAGTTACATAATGTGCTAGAACAAATTTTAATTTAAGATATATTCATTCAAATTCATCAACATAATTTTCATTTTTCATATTTTCTCCTCAGAAGCACAACAAGATTATGATAAGAGAGTACTTTCTCATAACTCTGGAAGAGGACAATATAGTACCCTACCCCCGATAAATAATATCCCTGCCCTCAGACCTCTGAAGGTAAAACCACTTGGTGGTGGAGTTTTGAAGTTGCCACCATTGCCAACAAAAAGTGAATCCCCACACTCTGGATCTCATTATTGCCCTGTGGAAACACAATCAAACGGATGGGAGTCAAATTTCGCAAGTAAGTATAGAGTTTGGTAACATAAAGTAGTGATATAATTAACTTCAACACAATAATTACTGTGTAGTATTTTCTATGTTGATATCCTAACAAAGATTAAGAATAGTACCTTTTTTGATATCTTTTTTTGATACACATAAAATGCCAAAATATCAATATCAGATATAACAAATAAATAATTTTGGTTATTACAATCCAAAAATGCTTCATATAGATAAAATATGTTGGTGGTTATGTATCTCTATTTACTGTTCAAACATAGACTTTTACAAAGTGGAACATTTTTGAATTATTAAACTCCCATTTTCATGACTTATATACAGTACAGTTTTAAAAGATTGTTTGTGTTCCTAAGTATACCGTACAAACAAATATGAAATACTGTGTCATACAAGTTCCTAGGCCTAGATGCTAAGCTAAATAAAGCTAATCTAGAGTCTAAAATCTGCAATTACATATTGGTTTAATTTAGTGTACTGGGAGAACGGTCCTAATATTGAGTCCAAATGGTGTGGTTGTTTTAAGTAAAAGTTCCCAGTGATTCTCTTTATCTTTGCGGTTTTTTGTTGCTCCAACTCTGTCTCTTATACACATCTAGATGTGTATAAGAGACAGATACCGTACAAACAAATATGAAATACTGTGTCATACAAGTTCCTAGGCCTAGACGCTAAGCTAAATAATGCTAATCTAGAGTCTAAAATCTGCAATTACATACTTTGTGTTGGAGCAGGCCTAGATGTTAAGCTAAATAAAGCTAATCTAGAGTCTAAAATCTGCAATTACATACTGTGTGTTGGAGCAAATAGTCTACAAATAATTTGTTAAAATTTACTTCATAAGGTGATGATTCTGAACATTGGCAGGGGAATGTGGCAGAGGAAGTCAAGAAAAGTATGGATAGATTGAAGAAGCTTGGCAGCCCCAAGTCTAGTTCTAACAACTCATTGAGTAAAGGTAAGTTGCAAGAAGTTATGTGTATCATTTGGTAGATAAAGCTGGGCACTCACTACTCCCGATGGTCATTGGCCGACAGGATTCTATGGAGAACGCAGTGCCACAATGTGCACAACGATTGGTTTTTAATGATGATCCGTTCGGACTGCCACTAACAATCAGCGGACGGCATTGAATTGTGTAGGGCTCACATAGACATGACATGTAACAGCTGCCCAGGAAATTTACCCACTTTCTTATCATTAACTGCTGATACGGATCTAATTGGTTTAGGATCATAATAACCTGGTTCACGTCGAAGTTAAGCCACTTATCTAAATCTTGAAATATGATACGATTTTTCCCTAGTTGCGTTCGATGCCAAGTTAGAGCCAGATAAACAGCCAGCCACCTTCAAGGCCGTCGACGTCACACGGTGGAAAGGCTTGTTTAAAAATAACATCTACTGCTCTACGAACCTCTAGTACCAAGAGGTATTCGTAAAAAAATTGACAAATTTGTAAACTACTGTAGATCAGGTGTCAGTTTCCACTACCTAGCTATCCTCTGCCATTGATATATAGGCGGCCAGGTAGTACGAACCAACCGACAGTGGAGCAGTGTAGTCTACCGCAATTATAGTAATAGACTACTACTAGGCCCTAGCTAAATTTACCTTCGATAAAAAACCAAATTATTTTAATCGCTAACATTCTCCCATTTAACAAAATATTGTTTTATTTCTCATTAAAACGTCTGTATACTTTATGGACCTTTCTGTCGTGTTTCTGTGTCAGCTTCGCGGTGTCAAATAAGTTGCTGACTTCAACACACTTTTTTATTTCGTCATCGTAAACGTGTGCTCATTTTAACGAATGGATGTTGGTTGTAGTTTGTTGTAACTGAATTAAAAGCGACTATTATAGCAGAAATTGAAAAGATTAAATTGTCAATAAATAAATACAACAAATCTGATTTTATTATTAAGAAAAATACATTGTCGCTTTGAAAAACGTACACAATCAGACTTTTTAACATTATTACTTGGTCGACGATGCAAAGGGCAAAGGTCATTTGTAATATTGACTATTCCTAAAACGGACGTTTGCTGGGTTTTTACCTATAATATTACAAATAATTTCTGAAAACCAGACTAATGAGACTACTTTGCTGCTGTTGTTAGCATTCTTGGAGTATGCTGTAGCCAGCCAGAGGATGATAATTGTGGTACAACACAACAACGCTGGCTTAGATGCCTACGTTACGTAATCATGTTTTTGTAATCCGAGCCGACTTTGTTAAGCAAGTTAATTTACCGTTATTCTAGCTAACTTTAAGTGACATAAGCCTTTATCCTGCTATAATTGACTGGTTCTCGTCAAACTTTTAACTAGTTAAGTGGATCTGTATCTATATAACGGTTCGACATTAACCAGGCTAATGAGTGGTTAATCTCTAATTCCAAGGACAGTGTAGATATGACGCCAAAACACTAATTTTCTAAAAGTAGATCCAGTTCCAATGCTGTTTGGGGCTTGTTACACACCAATGCACGCTACATCTTATCAACAGTTCAGTTACGTCCTGCATCTTATTTATTTATTTTGTTTTGTGAATTGTTCTTTAAACTTTATAATATGGTAATATAATAATTGTATTTATGTAAAAAGGCATTGATAAACACCAGTATGGTGATACTGTACTGTACACGTTTTTAACAATATTAAATGTTTATATTATGCCATTGGTTTAATTTAGTGTACTGGGAGAACGGTCCTAATATTGAGTCCAAATGGTGTGGTTGTTTTAAGTAAAAGTTCCCAGTGATTCTCTTTATCTTTGCGGTTTTTTGTTGCTCCAACTGGCATTATGGTCAATTGCAATCACTCTGAAATTTGAAATTGAATGACCAGCTAAATTGAAATGTTCGGCTACTGGTTGATCAAGCTTAGATGTTCTGATAACTGATCTATGTTGTGTCA